AACTTAAGAAACACCACGCTACCCCTCTCCTACTGTTTTTCCACCGTCCTCCAATTTGTCATCCTGCTGGAGTGGAAACTGCCAATTCCATTTCAGTCGACGGCTATAAAAAGAACTTTGGAGCTGGTGGTGCCGATGACCCAACATGGGGGCTAAGATTAGCCCAGGAGGCTGTGTCCACCTTTCCTTAATGTGAGAACCAGCTGGGGTTCCCCTTCCTTGGAAAACTTCAACTGTTCCACTCCGCCCCACCTCGCAGCGGCCCTGCTGGCCAAACTGTCCATGGAGATGGGAACGGGGCTGCGTTTTGGAAAAAAGAAGTTGAGCAACAGGGATTCCCCCTGCAGAAGGCAGTCCTGGGCTGGGAGGCAAGTTCTTGGGGTCAAAAGAGCAGGGCTGGCTCCCTGCAAACACAAGGCAACTCCCCGCTCTGCCTGTCAGAGCCACCCGGAGCCAGACATCCCACCAGAGAAGCCCACCACTTCTCTGAGGGCCCAGGGACACCTCAGACACCCCGGCTTGTCTGTTGGCATCGATCCAGGGACCGTATTCACCCCAGGTTCTTGTACGTTAGACACACCACAGTCCTAAATGGACCTACCTGGCCTCAGTGACTTGCTGCAGAATTCAAGAGTCTGTCTCACCACAGAATGATTCAAGTCAGTGGCTCAGAGCAGCTAAAGGATCTTCAGACAAATTAACCTGGTTCTGAGCTTTTTCAAAGTAGAAAAGCTAAATGATCAAGGATACAGATGCTAGAGCCAGGCTTCCTAGGGGCCAACCCAGCACTGCCATTTACCAGCTGTGTGATCTTTGATAAGTTATTTAACCTCTCTGTGTTCAGTTTCTCATCAGAAAATAGCTATCTTGTAGGGCTGCCATGAGGAATCAGATTGTTAATACATATAAAATGCTTAGAACAAGGCCTGGCACATAGCTTATTATTACTTATTCTTGTTTTTCAATGTCTCTTGGTTCCATGAGATAAAATCGTACCCATTCTTGTCCTTCCACAGCCAAGATATGATGATGATGATGAGAATAATAATAAAAGCTGACATTTAATGAGCACCTGTAATGTGCCAAGCTCTATGCAAAGGGCCTAATCTGTATCGTCTCATTTAATCTTCTTGTCTCTCAAGTGAAGTAAATCATCTGTATTTTACAAAAGAGGAAATATTGGCTCAGAGAAGTGACATGACTTACCCAGGATGACAAAGCTACCAAACGCAGATCATGGGTTCAAACCCAGGCCGTCTGACCTCAGAGCTATGCTGGTAACCAGTGCAGCTTACAGCCTCCCAAAGTCTGCCTGCCAGGCCCGCACTGGGGCAGGGTGTGTCCAATAAACGATGTCTATGGCCTAAGCAATGAGAATACCGGAGAAACCGTAAAAATAACGACGAACACTCCACAAGCACGCCCGATGTGCTGAGTGCCCGCTGCTTGCTTATGCGTTTAACTCTGGGAGGGAAAGACTGTTATTAACTCGCTCACCGGAATCTGAGGTCCAGGGAAACTGAACAACAGAACGATGCTGTATAATCTGCAGGTGAGTCCGCTAACTTCTCCAGGCTTAGCCACCTGCCTCCCGCGGGTGTCCGGTTAGATGAGACAAGATGCAGAACGCAGCAGGCAAAGGGCCCGCCCACAGACAGGCTTCAGTCAGAGAAAACTATTATCATTCCTCTTCTTATTAACATGCAATTTTTCAAAGTTGAAACAGACTCTGGGTTTTCCTCCCTTCGAGAGGTAAACTGAAATTTCTTCTGAAACCAAGAGAAGGAAAGCTAGAGAGTAAAGGTCTTCCATCCAGCCAGCCAGCAAATACCTACTGGAGGCCCTTGCGTAGCCTCACAAGTGGCCTCACAAGCTCTCTAGACAGTTTAAAGCTGTCTGGCTCCTAACTCCACAAGGAACTTGGTAGCACCTGGCCTCCAAGCCATCCCTGCACACTTCCAGCAGCCCCTCAAGGAGACTGCCAACCTGGACACAGAGAACAAGATGTCTGTATATTACTAGCATTTCCCCTCTGCCAATAAGGTGCCTTGAAGCCATACACTTCTTGTGAAAGTCAGCAGAAGGCCAGCAGGATGATTTCCTGGCCCTGGAGATCCGTCAGGTAATGTTTACTCGGCCATTTACATTTCATGCCACTCTCCCGCTCAAGAACCCACCATGACTCCCTATTACCTTACTCATGTGCAGACTAAACCAAAGCCGTGTCTCTACCTGACATCAGGAGACTTCTCTGCTCTGGGCTTTGCCTGCTCATCAAAGCACTTCCTGGTGATAACCAGCCTCTATTCCAGCCACCCAGGTTTGCTCTCTGTCTCATGAGAGCCTAGTAACTTCTTGCCACGAGACTGCTGTTCCACCGCCTGACAAAGTCTCCTCCAAAATGTATCAAGACACCTAAAAATGTGCATGCCCCTTGAATGCACTACACCACATGTAGGCCTCAACCCTAGGAAATAACAATAACAAACAGCATTAGCTAATACGTATCAAGCACTTACTATACACAGTTGGCCCTCCGAATCCACAGGTTCCACATCCATGGATTCAACCAACCACAGATAAAAATATTCCAAAAAAAAATTCCAGAAAGTTCCAAAAAGCAAAACTTGAATTTGCCATTCACTGGCAACTATTTACATAGCATTTACCTGGTATTAGGTCTTATAAGTAATCTAGAGTGATTTAAAGTATATGAGAGGATGTGCATAGGTTCTATGCAAATACTACACCACTGTATACAAAGGACTTGAGCATTTGCAGAGTTTGGTATCCACGGGGATCCTGGCACCAATCTCTTGCAGATACTGAGGGACAACTGTACCAAGCATTTATGAACTCTTAAACGTATGACCACCCTATGAGGTAGAACTGCCACCATTCTCTTTATACAGAGAAGGAAACTGTTGCCCAGAGAGGTTAAGTAACTTGCCCAAGGTCCCCCGCCCCCGACCCCAGCTAGAAAGTAGTAGACCTGGGCTTTGAACACAAGCAGACTGGCTGGAGAACATGAGTCCTTACCTAGCTGACCAAAGGAATATCGAGGATGTTCATCACTGAGTTACTTACAATAGCACAGAGTTGGAAGCAGCCTAATATCCAATAAAAGGAGGATGGTTAAATAAAGTACTGGACAGCCATATGACAGATGCAATGCACCCACTTACACATCTGCGTTCCTCTCCCCTCACGGCACCACCACAGCCCCTCACACCCGCAGGGACTGACCACGGGCCTTCTGAACCACTCAAACCCACTTGTCCGTCTCCCCACTGCCACAGCCTTACTTAATGCCCGCTTTTTGTGGGGGGTTTTTGGCAATGGCTTCATCAAACTTCTTGAAAACCATCTACCTTCTAGCATGCTTCCAGAGTGTAAGAAAGCAGTTGTCACACCCTAGTCACAGGGCCAGCCCATCTCAAGAGGAGGCTTTGTGTGAATTGGTAAGAAGCACCCCTTCTCTAAGACACTCCGCTCCCTCCCGCCGGAAGTTTAGTAACACACAGCTCCACAATGTACCCAGTCTGAATGGCAGCCCCCAGAGGAGGTTCCCTCATGCAGTGCAAAATCCCCACAAGTGGACAACCTGCCTGTGACAGTCTGTGGATCTTCCTCAGGGCAGTAAACAAACAGACAAATACCCCTCTGAATTAACTGGAAATCATGTCATAGGAAGAAGAAGAAAAAAAAAAAAAGCTTGGCCTAGCATCCATAACTATCAAATAAATTATATAACCTGCTATTTTTCCTACTTTTGATCACTGTCTTTCTGCCATGTCCTCATTGGTAATCACATTAACAGACAGTCCGTATAAGAAAGAATACGCAGGTCCAATAAACAGAAACATTAAACCTCTCATAGCAAAGGAGTGCCAAGTCCAAAAAGTACCAATTCAGCAAATTTTTTTTTTTTTAATTAAAAAACACGGCACTTCTGGGATGGGGTGAAACCATCACTGACACAGTATTGGTGGAAGTTTCCAATTTGTGTATTTCTGGAAGGTAATTTGAATTCTAGAAGCAATATGTGTTTAAAGCTCTCGAAATGACTATCCAAAACTGCACTCTGCAATAAACCCTAAATAAACAGAAAAGATACACATGGAGATTCATGTATAAGAAGATTAATTAATCCTCCAAGTATAACAAGATTAACTGCAGTACTATTTATAATAAAAATATAAGCAGCCAGTATTTGTTGACTTACAATATACCTGGTGCCATTATAATTACCTGACGTGTATTAACTCATTTAACCCTCGCGACACCCCTATGGGGTAATAACTCTTGCTATTATCATTCTATACATAAAGAAATGGAGGCACAGAAAGGTCAGGTAATTTGCCTAAGATCACAGAGCAAGCAAGTAGCAAAGGCAGGATCTGAACCCAGGATATCCAGGGCCAGAGCATGCACGATTAATCATTGTGTTGCTAGCCCTCCCTTCTTGATAACAGTAAAAAACTTAAAAGAATGTGTCTCCTGATGTGAAAATATAATTTTTTAAAAAAAAGTTAGGGGTGGGGGGCTTCCCTGGTGGCACAGTGGTTGAGAGTCCGCCTGCCGATGCACGGGACGCGGGGTCGTGCCCCGGTCCGGGAAGATCCCACATGCCGCGGAGCGGCTGGGCCCGTGAGCCATGGCCGCTGAGCCTGCGCGTCCGGAGCCTGTGCTCCGCAATGGGAGAGGCTCAACAGTGAGAGGCCCACATACGGCAAAAAAAAAAAAAAAAAAAAAAAAAGTAAGGGGTGGGCAAAACTTTATCATCCAACAAAACAAGCCAGGATGAGTTAAAATACATTATAACACACTCATGCAATGGTGAACTGTGTCGATATCAAGATCACTGGAGACAAGGGAAATTTCTCATGGTAAGGAGAGCAGGATAGGGAACGCTACACAATGGGATCTATCCCCCAAATCAATGTCACTGGAAAGAAGAAGATGGTCACTTTTGTATGGCACTCAGAAGGCCCCCTGACCTGTGGTCTTCTCGGTAAACACGACTTTGGACTCGGCCGTGAAGTTCTGTCCCGTGAGAATCATCTGCTGGCCCCCGTAGACCATGCAGCTGTCGATGTCTTGTCTTTCCACCATGGGCAGCTCATGGGCGGATCGCTGGGCTGCGGGCGACAGAAAAAGAAGACACTGTGATGACAGGAGATGCCCATGCAGAATCGGCCAGTGATTTCACGGGAATGGGACACAATGCACTCTGCCCACATTTGTCACTTGTTGTCATTGCAAACATGGAAGCCTCACCCCTGGCAACCAGTGACTATGCAAATATTATGTTCTTGTCAAAATGCCCCAAGTAATTTGGGCTAATTTTCTCCTAACAACACGTTTCATTTTCATGAATCAAGAGACAGATGCCTGTTCTCCTTTTAGGGAGGAAAGGGGATGCCTGTTCTCCTTTTAGGGAGGAAAGGGGAGTAAGAATTTGATTTTTTTTTTTTTTTTTTTAATAAAAGGAGGGACAAGTCAACTTTCTTGTGAGAGATTTTCCTTTGCTAGAATGTACTCTCTTCTCCTGCACTTGATGTCAGCAACCTTAGGACCTGATTCCTAAAGGTCCAGATGCCCTGGCCTTGGAATTCGTTTGTCGTCCTGAACATGATTTGCCCCCATCACTTCTCTGACCACACTTCCTAGAACTCCCCCTTGCTGACTCTGCTCCAGTCACATTTCTAGAATGTTCTCACCATCTCTCAAACATACATAGCATGCTCCTATCTTTCAACGTCTGCCCGTTCAAGTCCTTCTCTCTGGAAGGTTCTTCCCTGATTACCCGCATGGATGCCTTCCTCACTTCTTGCAGGTTTCTCCTCAGATGTCACCTCCTCAGAGCAGCTTCCTTACCACTACCCTTCCATTCTCCCCCTCAGAGTTAAAACAGCAGTACCCACCCTCTCTCCATCTGTCTGGCTGTGTCTCTCCCTCTTTCCCCTTTATCCTGCTTAATCATTTCCAAAGCACTTTCCACTTTCAGACGCACTACATGCAGCTTTATTGGTTCATTTGTCTTTCGTCTCTTCCCCACGAGAACGTGAGCCCAGGAGGCAGGAGCATTGCTTTGTGCATGCTGTGAGCCCAGGGCTGGGGACTAAGTCCTAGGACTTAGCAGGGGATGCCTGAGATGGATGGATGCAAGTATTGATAGATGGAAGGAAGGGTGGAAGGGAGAAAAGAAAGAGAGAGAGGGAGAGAGGGAGACAGGGAGGGAGGGAGGGAGGGAGGGAGGGAGGGTTGCTGGATGGATGGATGGAGATAAGTATGGATACAGATGTGTCTCAATATATCTTGACACACATATGTATATCGATATCTCTACATATATCTGCACCTACATCTTCATTTGTGTCTACAATGAGGAATGGCGCAGGCTGAGTGTTTAACCACAGTGACGTATTTGAATGCTCACAGTAACCTTCTAAGGAAAGAAGTACTGAAATTATTCACCTTTGGGGAGGAAACTAAAGCCCAGGAGAAGTCAGATGGGGTGATGCTTAGATCTGGCCCCTCCGGAACTGGTTTGTCCAGCTCCAGAACCCCATCTCCTAGCCCCTCCAGCTGACCAGTTCTTCTGAAGGTGGGCTGCAGGAAAGAATGAAGACCCTCTCCAGATGCCTTTCCTGGGCAGGGTGAGAAATGGGTCCCATCCAGCATGAGGGACCATCTCCTCGGCCTCGCCTTGGCAGCGTGGGCCGAAGAGGCCGGCCCTCCCTGGGTGAGTCAGCCTGAGCTCCTGGCGTTCCTCCCAGAGCCCAAGAACTGGGCAGAGGGCCAGCCCTTTCCGTGCCAGGGGCCTGCGGACCTCCCCATCCGGGAGCCGGGGACGCAGCCACGTGAGGCCCGAGGCTCAAACCCAACCCTGTCCTCCTGGCTGGCCTGGGCCTCCAGGTCCAGCACCCCGCTCCCTTCGGCCCCAGAGCCACGTTGAAATCAGTCCCTTCAGGAGCAGCCACACACTTGGTGACATTTAAGGAGTCTGCTGTGGACCAGACGCTCCCAGACACTTTACATTGAAAATGCAGCCGGATGACTCTCAGCGATGGCCCTGCAGGTATCTTCCCATCCCAGGCTCAGCCCAGGCTCTCTGTGCCCAGGGGCCCACCAGCCAGCGCGGTTCTAAGGGGCTGCCAGTTAAGAGTACGTATTAAAAAGGCCTCTCTGCAGAAGCTGCTAATTTCTCCCACATGGGCCAGGTTATCAAGCCTTTCTTTCAACAGAGGAGTTCTGTATGACTTCCTAATTGAGCTGCCACCAATGGGGATTTATTAGCAGTGAAAGCAGCAGCCACACCACCTAGAAGAGCAGGTCCCGGCTTTTAAGATCTGCCTTTGATGCGTTCAGGGGGCCAGTGGGGGCTTTTGGTCCCAGGGATGGGTGGGGAGGCGGCAAGAGCCATCCTTCCCATTCTGCAGGTGGAAAGCCTGAGTCATGGCTCCTGGGCAAGCCGGCCAAGGGCTCCCAAGCCAGCGAGGCCGGGGACTGGACGTGGCCATGAGCTCCCAGCAGTGGGCGGGAGGCTGGGCCAGACGGCTGCTCCGTGAATCACTGTGCATTGCTGTGAACACAACTCTGCTATTTCCTGAAGCAAACTCATTGCTTCTCCCTCCACAGCCTCACAGTGTCAAGCAACTAACTGATTCTCCCTTTGCCAAGTCTGCATTTCCTGCTCCTTCCCCTTACTGAAGGAAAACTATCTTTTCTAATGAAAATTTCAAGAGTCCAGTCCGGCTTCCTGTAAGCTTTTATCTGGACTCCAGTCTTGCAACTCGAAGTGTGGGCCGAGCACATCAGCATCACGGGAAGGGGGGGGCGGTATTATTAGAGGTGCAGAACCTCGTGCCCCACCCCGACCTACTGAACCCACATCTGCAGCTTAACAAGGAATCCAGGTGATTCTTATGAGCTATCAAGTCTGAGAAGAACTGCTTAGTGCTGGCTACACATTAGAATCAGCTGGGGAGTTGAAACAATAATGACCCCGTGGCCCTAATTCTACCATTTTACAGACAGAAAGACAGACGCTCAGAACTCGCTTCATGGAGAGGCAGCTCCTGCCGGGGTGAGGCTGTCGTGTTGGAGGGTCCTCAGTTCCAGCTCAAGTCGCCACCAGGTGATCCTTGCACAGGGCTTCCCAGCTCTAAACCTCACTTTTCCCATCTGAAAAACGGGGCTGTTAGCAGACCCATCTCACAGGCTGTTGTGAGGGTTAAATGGGAGAATTCACAGAAAGTGTACTTGGCTCAATAAATACCGGACAACATGAAGGGCTGTAGCTCCTTGAGCAGCTGCCCTGTGCTCAGCGCCGGGAACCACTGTTGTCTTGTCTTAGCTATTTCACCAAATAAGTACGGACCGTGTCCACGTGTTTACACACGGTACTGCTCTCTTCACTGCTGTTCTTGGTGGATCCCGACCCAAAACCCAGGTTTCTTGGCCCTGAATCCCAGCATTTTTCAAAGGGAGCTTCCTTTGCAGGGTCACCTGCAGCCGAATCACCTGGTTGGGGGAGGTGCTTAATAAAAATGCAGCTCCCCAGGCCACACCCCCAAACCCCCCACCTGCCCCAGAATCTCCTAGAGGAGCCTGGACATTTGCATTTCAACAGTCTTTCCAGGTGACTTGTTACACACATTCTGTTTGAGAGCCAGGTCTCACACTTAAGAGACCACCTGAGGACAAGAAGACCTCCTCCAGGGGAGGCCCCCCCCCCCACCCCGGCATCCTCAGAGAGCCCAGAGGCAAAGCACATGAATCCAATTAGCCCCTGAAAGAGGAACTGAAGACAGGCAAACAGCAACCAAAACTACCCTCCTGGGGTCCACTTCCTTCTCCCTCTCTGACGCAGCCTCCAACACCTAGGGCTACTAATTGGGGTGACATGGTCCAGGACCTATGGGAGGGCTCTCCACAGGCCCACTGGGCCCCCTAGGCCTGAACCACCACCCGCAGCCGTCCCCACCGAGTCCCATTCGGCTCTTCGACCACTGGAGATTCCAGACCCTCCAAACCTTGCCAAACCCTGCAGTGTTCTAACCAAACAGGGGTCCGCCAGCTTAAAGCCAAACCCACGGCCCAGGTCTCACCTGTGGGTGGAGGCTAGACCCTCAGCTCTGGCTTAAGCATCAAGGTGGCCCTCGAAGCCAGGAGACTACCTCAGGCTTCCCTCCTGCCCCTGGATTCTGGCACGTCATAAAGTGTCTTGGGGCTCCTATGTTTTATGAGCTCTGAATCAACAGGGCGCTGTTGGTTTAGCCAGTTTGGGTGTTTACTTTCACTAGCAACAGTGGCTGATTGGGAGCAGAGCCGGCGGTAAAGGCTCAGAGAGGGAAATTCACACCAGGCGGGGGTCCTCCAGGTCAGCCTGGACAGGGGACTGTCTGCAATTTGCCCTGTCACGGGGCTGCCTGGCCGAGAATGATGATCTACCCGAGAACCTCAGGAGAGAGGTGGGAGAAGCTGGTCAGGGAAATTTAGCTGTGCAGAGTGGGTGGGTTCTGCTAACAGTGAATAACTACAGCTGCCATAGAGAGTGCCTTGGATTCCAGCACTTTGTATATACGTTTTTGTTTATATTATAAAGCACACACATGAAGAAGCAATTTACGGTCATGGGTCAAAGTAAGGATGCTGCCACGTGAGAGCCTGAGTTCGAAGCCCAGCTCGGTGACATCCAAGCTTTGGGACCTTGGGCAAGTCATTTAATCTCTCTGTGCCTCTGTTTCCTCATCTATAAAATGGGACTCATCACAGGGCCAACCTCAGAGAGCGGTTTGCAGATTAAATGAGCTAATGCACAGGAAGTGTGTGGCACCTCATCAGGGCTCAATGAATGTCTGTTATGTTTATTTTTATTGCTAAACTTCATGAGACCCCAAGCAGGAATGATTCCCATTTTGGAGGTGAGGGTGCTGAGTCTCCCAAAGGAGAAGTCACATGCCTGAGAGCTCACAGCTGTGAAAGGCGGACAGGCAGAACTTGAACCCAGACTGTGGGATTCCCCTACCCAGAGGGACCCCTTTTTAGTAAAATGGTGAAGGACCCACTGGGAAAGCCGCCAGCCAGCCCGGACCAGGAGAGCCCCCTTCAGTCTCACTCTGGCCCAAGCACT